TCAATATCGGTGTTTTTAACTTTTAACATTTTACTTTGCACTGTATATTTGTGTTGGACGTGGCTGCATTGCAATTGTTGGTCGCTCAATATTGGTGCTTTTTCTAACTATTTAACTATTAACCAATTTTATTTGTTTTTATGCCTACAACACTCTCATTTACACACACACCCCCTCCCCAACTTACCCACTATTTAGTGGAGACTTGGGAACCCTTTCATTAGGGATTCCATACCACACCTGTAATACCACAAAGGTTGCTAGGGAAACTACTGTTTTTTTTTTTTTTTCCAAAGCATTTAAACTTATTGGTTGTGGAGAGTTCCTCGCCTCCATCGAGCGAATACATTGTTTATCACTCATACGAAAAAACCTTAAAGCACAGCGTTGGAGCAAAAGCGATTTTCAGTATTCAATCGTTGTCGCCCGCACTCCGTAACCTTTGGTTATTACTAGTAATAATAACGACTGAAAACCACTACCCCAGCTTGCCGTCTTACGCACCACTAGATACAGTTAAACATCTGCCAACTTTGCGATCAGGAGCGGCAACAAGCTTAATTTATTATACCAACGGAGAGGGGCACCTTTCAAGACTCTGCTGCCAAGTTACCATGTCCTTCCGGCAAATATTAGAAACTGTAGCGATTTTAAAGTATACTGTGGGAAAGTTAATGCCTACCTTTTAAACAACATTTGTAAATGCACCTAGAGCGTCAGTCACTCAAGTCAATCACTCTGTTCATACACTGAGCACCTTTCTATTATTATTATCTCTTTTATCACAGTCTTTGCTGGTGTTCTTTTTGTGCATCAGCCGGGCGCAAACCATGCACCTAGAGCGTCAGTCACTCAAGTCGATCATTCTGTTCATACACTGAGCACCTTTCTGAGGATTATTATTATTATTATTATTATTAAAGAAGCAAAACCGAATAAAGGCAAACAAAAGAAAGAGACTCTCGGAAGAGTCTTCTCCACCATCACTATGTCGCAAGTGTGAACCCGGCTTCAACGCTCGATCTTGACGATCTTACGGAACCGATTACGATTCCATTTATATAGATAACGATGTATTGATATGGATAAAAAGGTTAGCCTGAGTATCAGGCGTTTCTGGGGAAAAGGGGCAAAAATCTCCTCTCCCCTAGCCCTTTAGGAAGGCCTGATACTCAGGCTATGAAAAGGTTTGAGAAAAACACACCCCCTCCCCCTCGCATAAAGATCCTTGATCCCCGAGTCCCGATCCAAGATCTGGTTTTTCTAGGAACACCCGAAAGGCCCGATATTACTTGTAACTTAAATTTTACTTCAGCAACTTTCACATAATACACTTTTTTTACCCCCAAAAATGTACACAAGCCTGGTTTCCTATTTCTACTGGGTATAAAAGTCGTTCTAATAGAAACCGAAGGATGTGCTTATCAAGCAAAATTTTGGGGGGGAAATTGGCGTTTATGATGAGCATGACTGGCAAAAACAAACGGCAGACCGCTAAGCAAGGATTTTGTCTTTCGTAATAGCGAAGAAAAAGGTTCTTTGGTCTCTATACGTCTCAGTTTTGGAACTTCCTGGTTTCCCGTTACAGACTGCACGGTTATGCATGAATGAAAAATAAAATCGAAGTGAACTTACGAGAGCACAGCTCAATCTCTTGATGATCGGCGGTGAAACTGAACTTGCTGCTATCAACTGTGATGAGTAAATTTATATAATCATGATGAACCAAAACCGTTGTTTCTTAATTAACCGGAACTCGAAGATAAATCATGAGCTTAGCACTTTCAGTTTCGAGGAACTACGCGGGGGGTTTCTTAGAAAGAGGAAGCGTGTAAGAATCAGAACCCTGGAATCAACTACAGTTGAATTGGACGGCGGAGCGCGCCTTGGGCGCTTTCCATCAGGGCGGATAAAGGTTGGGCGGTGAAACGAGCGCGTCCGAGCAAAAAGGTGTGATGCAGTGGACTGGGACACTGCTTAGAAATGTCGCTTGTTTTCGACTTCGGTCAGGGCTTGCGATGTGGTTTGTACATTAGACACTGCCGCTGTCACTGAATTATGGCGGCTTGATTTGTTTTCTTGCACTTCTTCCTCGTTCCTTTGTGCTGGTACGCTGTCTCCGAGAGGCAAATGTTGCTATTTTTTGCGGGAGGTTTAGTTGGAGTAGACAAACATCTCTTTCAAAGGGTTTCTTTTATTACTTCCATGACTCTACCACTGAATTATATTTTCGTTCTGCTACTCGCCAATGTCGATGTTATTCCAAAACAAAAACAACTAAGTACTGTCTAAAACACGAAGGAAAATCTCATCCATGTCATCCATGGCAAAACTAAAAGACAGCAGATCGTGTTTCATAACTAGATGACGTGTATTTTATAAATGCGTGCAGCTCGTGCAAGGTGAAATTATGCTAATTTCAATCACCATCATCCTTCTTTTTAATTTTGAAAAAAACATCTCATACGTCTTTCTGTTTCTTCGAAACTTCAAAATTAGTTTCCCCTCAGTTTTTACTGTTTACCTTGTTTTGTTTTAGAGAGAAAAACGGAGAAAAAACCTTACAACTAACCTCAATAAATTTTGTTTACATGCGGTTGCCGGATTTGCAACGCATTGCGCGAATCGCCATGGCGCGTTGCACCCGAGAAGCAAAGTTTGAAGAAGTACAACGCCACTATATCAATATATATCAATCTAATTTTTTGTTATGTTATATAAAATTTATCCCCCTTTAACATATGTAAAAATTGAGGTTAAGAAGTGTTAAGCTTTTGCAAACGAAACGGCGAAAGACGATTAGGTGATATTTAGTGGAAGGAGGAGGTATTCAACACTTTCAAATTAAACTCAAATTTTGGCATTATACGACCAACAAGTTTGACTTATAGACGTACAGACACAAACATATGAAACTGTTTATTGATATTGTTATGAAACGAATTTATCTATTTAACATTGTAGCCTGAAATTACAGAAAGAAAATAGGATTTCCGGTTTGCAAAAAGGAAAATTTCGCCGGCCTTCAAGCGCACCGGAAGCGCGGAAAGAGCGCTCGTGCCAGTCCTACTCCGCATCACACATTAAATGAAGAGCGGAGCGCTCGTTTCACCGCCCAACCTTTATCCGCCCTGCTTTCCATTTTGTTATATAGCGGAATCAGGACTATCCAGCCAGATTAGTCTACTCCTTAAGACGCCTTAAAGAGTGTTTTTGGTAGTGGTGGGTTTTATAGAAAATAGCTTGAGTAGGCATTATGAGCATTATGCTTTTGAGCGTCACCGCCAAAGGGTTCCTCAAAACAACAGCATTATGCCTGAAATACCTCCATGAGTCAGAAACACAGCACTTTATTGCATCATTTACTGGTAGCCTTGATGATGGATGGAAAACTGAGAAGCCTTGGCAGTAACTTGAACGTGAATGTTTCGCAATACCGTAATGAAAATACTAATTTTTTTCCTGAAATGTTGCGTTTTGTTCAGTTCTTGTGGCTAAAAAGGAGAGTTTTTCCCCTTCTACGGTTTTTTTCCGGCAGGTTTTTTTCTGGCCTCCGTTCTGACAGTATTCTTTGTGAACTGTCGCTCAACTCTGTTCTAGTTTATCTACCATATATTTGAATGTAATAGAAGTTGAAGTATAACGTATTGTTATTTCTGTAATCCTCGGCCGAAACAACCAAAATATAAAAACCTAATGGTTTTTTCGATTCATGTTGTATTGCTAGTGGAGCTGAATTTGATAGTTGGTACACTTTGATTTTGTCTTTGTGCTTTGCCATTGGGCCCTCCTTCAATTCTGCGGGGAAACTGTCAGTATAAAATATGGACTGCGGACTGCGGACTACGGACTGTGGACTGGGTATAACTACGGATTAGGTATAAAACTTGGACGGAAAATATGGACTGGGTATAAAATACGGACAAGGTATAAAACGCGGACTGCGGACTGCGGACTCGGTATAAAATACGGACTGCGAACTACGTTGCTAAAAACGGAGGTAAAATAAGATCAAAAGACAGCTTATTAGCGAGACACGTTAGTTTAAGTTATAAGTGCTCCTAGAAATTCTTGGTGGAGGTGTGTCGCCCGGTTCTCTGAATCCTGATCACGAGCCTGACCAAAATACTATTTTATACACCCATTTTTAGACCTGGTCTTGGTCTCTAAAAATCATGAAAGGGGTCACAAACGCGATGTACATGTTTACATTGGTCAGGTGCAGGCTAGGGTGTAAATCATACCATCATAATCATCGCTTTAGTTAGAATATAACGTTAGATGATTTATTTCGGTTATTATTCACGTATAGGTGAGTAATCCCTCCCCCCTAAATACCGTTTTTTTACATCTCGGAATGCCCCTATATTGACCATCTCTTCTGAGTTCCTCATTTTCTCATATGCCCAAGGCTTTATTTGAAATGGAATAGTGGCATCTATAAGAATTTTACTCTGACTAACACCAATACTATTTCTTTTATTGCCGTGCTTCTTATTGGTTTGAAACTATAAATTGAATTCTCTTCTAACTCCTCCTTTTTATAAAATTCAGAGTTTAATTTCAGTTGCCTTGAGTAGCCTTATAACCTTCCTTGCCTGTGCTGTATTGTTTCCTTCTCCACATGACGCTGACTTTGGGGAGAATAGACTGCGTGACCAGCTAAAGGAATGTTTTTGTGTGAGGCAAGGAGCCGGGACTATTGTTTTATGCTAATCCGCTTTCCGTTTCTCTCAGTTTTACCTTTCTAAAGCTGTTTTTATATACATAGTCCGCAATCCGCGTTTTATACCTAGTCCATGTTTTACACTCAGTCCGGAGTCCTCATTTTATGCTTTGTCCGTAGTCCGCAGTCCGCCGTTCAAAGTTTATTCTGACCGTGCGGAGAACAGACAGACTCACGAACTTTGGCAAACTGCGAAAAGACTGGAACTACAGTAGAAGCTGTTTTTCTTTGATTTGTTGACGCTTCGCTTACGACCATTTTTACTAAGCGCAAAATGAACTTTTCCATTCCTGAAAACCTAGATTTTCAGCAGTACTGCTTTGAAAAACATGGATCAATCGAAAATCTAATCGATAAAGCCAAGAAGGGCGAAATCGTTGCCCAAGCAGATCTGGGAATAGCGTACTTGGAAGGTTTTGGCGATCTTTTGCCAAAAGACGAAGATAAAGCGATTGGGTGGCTCAATGCTGCTGTAGAAAGAGGTTACGAACTTCCTGCAATCCTTGAAAAACTGGGAGAATTGCTAGATCTGAAAGGAACGACACTATGTCAGCGGAAGGCTTACGAAATGTATCACAGGGCCGCGAAATTGGGGTCCACAAATGCGCAAATCAATGTCGCGGAAATGTACCGTTGTGGGGTCGAAGGAGTGGTGAACGAAGACCTGAAAGAAGCATTTAAATGGTATAAGATGGCCGCTGAGGAAGATGAAAGTTGTCTCGAAGGCGATACGTTCCGTAGGTGGTTTGCTGGGACAATGAAAATACCAGGGAACGCCCTTGGTGGTACAAAGCTGACTGCTCTAAAGCTATTGAGCAAGTACTACCGCGAAGGTGATTGTCCTGAAGGCCAACCGCAACCAGCTAAGGCTATTTATTATCTGACAAGAGCGGCTGAATTAGGCGATGTTGAGGCACAGTTAGAGCTCGGACAGACCTATCTAACCGGGAATGGGACGTTGAAGGATATTGCAAAGGCAAGGCGATGGCTAGGAAAAGCCTCTGCCAGTGGTGATATCAGAGCAAAACAGGTAAGCTTGGATCGTATGGGGCCTGTTCACATGGGACGGGGGTGGGCGGGAGGGGGGGTCGAGGGAGGGGGAGAGGTAGGCGGGGGTGGAGGGAAGGGGAGAGACAGGCAAGAGCAAAGGGAAGGGGGAAGGGAGGGGAAAAGAAAGAAGAAGGGGAGGGGGGGGGGAAAGAAAAAGCCGGGGAAGGGGGAAAAAAAAGAGGAAAGGGGGGGGGGGGGGTGGGTGGGGGGGGTGGGGGGGGGGGGGGGGGGGGGGGGGGAGGGGGGGAGGAAGGGTGTGCCTGGGGGCACCAACGTTTTGAATCATTCTTTCGAAAATGCAACCCTTCTGGATAGGCTGCCCTACTGCTATCTCCATATTACATGGCGTTTTCAACACAAGGAGAGAAATTTCGTATCTCAAAGCTAAGTGGCCATTAGACTTGCCACAAGTCGACTGCGTGAGCACCAAAGGGCGAGCAAAAGCGAGTGTCGAAGTCTTGAGATGAGCGACGCAATTCGCGAGTCCACCCAACCAGCAGAAACTTGGAATGGGCTTTGAGAAAGTCTAAGTGGCCATGTAATATTCTTTTTATTATATAAACACCAATGAAATGCCAAAGCATATCACTTGAACTCTTTTTGCTGCGAAAGGTGCTATTTATTATGCCATAGCAATGGTAATCTTTTCACATGTGAAGATAACATTTTTTTTTCACATGTGAAGCTATCATTTTTTTGCGTGTAAGCTCACCTGGTATTTCACTGGTGTTTATATAATAATAATCATTATTGGTCATTTAAAATATTTTGCCCATTTCTGATTGGCTCCATTACCCCAGCGATTCTTCATAACCAACCAGTGCTGACCAAATTTGGAAGATGTGGGCAATATACCATTGATTTGACGGCATATTTGATTTGAAACAAGGTTGCTTGATGGTATATTTGATTGGAAATGAGGCTGCATGGGCAATAGACCATCGATCAACTTCATCCAGGCTCGGAGGATGTTATCCATATCGGCCTTCAGCCTTGGTGGGTAGTATCCTCCTTGATCTGCATAATTCTTCTCATCCCTCTCAGCCTCATTCATTAATAATTGCTAATAATAATCCTTATAAAATGTACCAGTGGTACCTGCTGAACAGAAAAACAGTAGGCCTGAACATAGTCTGACATGTCACACATCTCCACCCCCTAACCCGTGGGGGGCACGGGGGAGGGAGACGTCTGAATTCCGTGCATTATAATGCCATCCGGTGATGTCATGACCTAGTAATTTATGCATTTTTGCATACATTTTCATTTCTTAACCAGTTGGCAGCCATAAGTCACGTAACCATGAACAGCATGCATATGGTCGATATCAAGTGTGCTGTGTTTTGAGTGCCATGAAGCTTGATGATAAAGCCTCCAGAATAAAATAATGTACAAGGTCATTTTAACTTTTTGAGTTTGAAATGAAGTGTTGACAGGCTAAACATGACTCGTAAGCTCATGATAGGGTGAAACATGACCTTGGACTTGGAGTTGAACTAGAGAGGTTCCCTTTTTCCTTCTTTTGCTGAGGCTATGACGTACACGGAGTATTTTAAATTCTGACTGAGCAAATCTTACTTTTGCCGCTCTGAGTCTAACATTTAGAGGTCATGAAACTGGTCTGTTTCATGCATATTGAGTAGTTATTTCCTGTAATTATTTCCATTGGCAATTACTTTTGTTTTAGCTTAATAGTCTATGCAACTGTACTGGTAGTGCATTTTTTGTTACAAGTGCCTAAAGCGAGACTGAGTTTCGGAATTAAAAAGTTTATTGTCAGTTGCTACTATGGTATAAGTCTTCACTTTGTGAAGAGAGGCTAACTCTAAGGTCACATTTCACACAGCAATAAAATTAATAGTCTCGTTGAGGCTGTCAACACTATTTCAAACCGGATGTTGTCCTTAGCACGTTTAGCCAATAATAAAAGGTTTTCTATTTCGAAAAGGTAATAGCAAATCAGAAAATACCTACCATATTCACAAAAGTAGGTGACGTCACCAGACAACATTATAACGCTTGGAATTCAGATGCCTCTCTCTGCCGCACCTCCTACGGGTTAGGGGGTAAAGATGTGTGACATTTCAGACTAGCCTGAACACATCAATGCTGTAAAAGAACTGCAGTCAAGGGAACAGAAAGGCCTTATTAATGAAGCTGAAGAGTAGAAACCAAAACTGTTGTTTGTGTCTTTGTGTCTTGTTTGTAATAGCCACTCAGAAGATAACCCCCAACTATCATGGAGTAGCCCGCGTAGCAAGCATTTCCAAGTTATTACGCAAAAGTTGGAGTGAGAGCAAAAGAAATGGAAGATCAAAAGGGGAGAGAAAAAACACCCCTTGATATTTCACGGCTCAGTTTATTTATAAATTGACAGTTTGTCAACATAGTAGCCATTCACGTGAATAATAGACAGAACAGATTACCAGATTTGTTAAATTTACTTTGTTCTCTTTGAAACATGCTTTGCGCAATTGCAGAAAACTAAAATAAAAGTAGCGTAACGATACAAGAAGGTTTAAACTCAGAGTGATTGTTTTGGATTTTCCTCTTGTATTTTATTATTAACTTAAATTTTGAATGTTATGTGGCTTTATCTGTAGGGGTTTATCGCATGGGAAACCTTGTCAAAATGTCACAAAGAAGTGATTCATGTCCAGAACAGTTCAGTCCTGCTATATGCTGTGAGGTTTGCAGAGTGGCTGCTATGCTCAATCTCCAATTATACTTAATTTAAAGGGCTGCAATAACAATGCTAGTGAGGCCTTCTTTCAGGTCAGATCTGATAAACCTTCATACAAACACAATCCAAAAAAATCGTCAGTCCAAAGCATTTTTGTATCTGCAATGCATGTAAATAAAACATACCTGGTTTTATTGATGTATTGAAAGATCGCTCTTTTATCAACGCTACCAATACCGCACCAATCAGAAGCTGCATTCTTGGGTGAACACAGTTTTTCAGAATCGTGGGATTTGCATGCAAGTGTTTCCTTCTCTCCACTCCCCCTCCCCCCTCATTGCTCTTTTTTGCTCTCGTCTCAACTTTCTCGACAAACTTGTGCGGAAATGCCTGCTACTTAGTCTTATCATGCTCCAGGCAAAGTAATTTGGTTAATTATCTGGGGCACCCACCCTCCATAATTTCGACTCAAGTCTCTGAAATCTTATTGTTAACAAAACTTTAACAACTTTAATTTTTTTTGTCTAGAATGAAACGTTGAAGTTTACATTTTAACAGCAAATTAGGGAGCACTTTTGATTGGCCAGTTGACATGAAATTGAAGTTTCAATGGGCCAATCAAAAGTGCTCCCTAATTTGTTGTTAAAATGTAAATTTCAATGTTATTGATACAACTTCACTAGATTCCCAGGGTTAGTTAATTAGGATATGTGTTTGCTGCAAACTAAGATTCTACCTAAACTGACATAAAATAATATATTGATACCCTTCTAGCCCAACCCCAAAGAATGGCAACCTCTTTAATGAAAACTAACAGAGCAGGCTCCAGAGTAAATTCTTTGCCCCACCCCTAGGCCACAAGATTAACTGAGCTTGTGAAAAAATGGTAAAGTGAACACTTGTGTGGTTGGTTCAATTGTCAAAAGGGGATAATTGTCAAAACACGTTCGAAGTTGTCTGCGAATTTTTAAACTGATGATTATAGGTTATAGGTGGTTACAGGCAATTTAGGTGTAAATATGTTAACTACTCAAAGAACATAAATTTATGTTGCAATATGTTTTCTATTTGCACTTAAATCCCACCACATTTGCTCTTTAGCACAATACTCCTGTATCCTATTTCTTGTTTATCATTTAGTTTGGCTCATCAGCTCTTCCATTTCTCATTTTTTATTTATTTAGCTTCTTGAACAATGTAAACAGTGTGATGCTTGTCAGGATGATGCTTCATTACCTCAAGAGGATCAGAATCAACAATTTGAAATCGTAGAGGAGAAAAAGAAGCAGAGACGTGAGAAAAATTTACACCCCTTTGCAATTCCTCAGCCTGTTGCATTTTCCGAGAAAATGCTGAGTAAATTTGATTCTTACCCAACAGGAAGAATACACCTTCAAGCCTTTAAACTTGTAAAGAGAGGATTTGAAGTACTTTATGAGAGTAATTTTGGAGATGGAAGAGGAATTTCCCTCTTAGCTCATGGCTTCTTGACTGAGACCTCTATACTACAAGCTTTTCCACTCCAATGTGCAATATTACCTCAGATGTTTCAACTGTGTGAAAAAGAGTTGCAAAAAAGTCCTTGTTTCTTTGAAGGCCTTGTTATATCTTTTGCCTTACAGCCATCTGTGGAACAGTTGTCTTCTGACAGCAGCAAACTTGACCGTAAGAAAGTAATGTGCATTAAAAACTTGATTCATCTAATCCAAGAAGCTGAACCTAACAGAACTCCTGCTGAAGATCCCTTCAAGTTTGACGAAGACTGTAGTAGCTGGCTTCATGTTTTATACTCGCTTTTGGGAGGACTTTATGGTATTGCAGGTGCCTATAAGAAGGCAGCAGAAGCTTTTGAGCATTCTCTTGAATGTTGCCCATCTTACTTTGACTCTAAAAGAGGGCTTGGATATTATTTAATGATGTTACATGATTCTTATGTGGGCTCTATTACAAAAGAATCTAGTAAGGAATCTAGTGAAGTTGTATCAATGAAAATCTCAAAATATGAATCTTGGACCAAAAAAGAACTGAGAGACAGGGCAGAGAAGGTATTGAAGGAGTATCTGGCCGAGGCCCCTTCTTGCTGGAAGACATATCCAAACGTTTGCTATTATCTTGCACATATATTTAAGTATGACAACCTGAAAAAGTTCAGAAAGTATTATGAACTTGGACAAGATGCTGAAGCAAGAAGGCTTCCTTTCCTTAATCCATTCAGACTGCCGCTGAAAGATGAACTTTTGGCTGTATACCAACAACATTCAAATGCTTCAATTAGGTGCGGTAATTCAGCATGCACCAAAAAGGTTGAGGAAAACAAGTTGAAATTCTGCATCCAATGCAGGATTATAAAATACTGCAGCAAGTAAGTAGAGAGTTGTCAAGTTAAGCATAGCCAGAAAAAGTTAATTTATGTTTAATTTAGTAGAAGGCAACTAGCATACTATCACAAATTCTGCAATCTGATTGGCTGAGATACGAGGCCCTAAATGTGGCTTTTCCATCCATGGCTATTTCACCTGCCATTCCAAGAATCTTGTTTACCTGCATATCCTGTCGATGATGCCCTCCTCTTTACATTGTTGAAACCAGGTGAAGCCTCATGAGTCGTTTTGGTGAACAGTTGTGAAGTCAGTACACAACAACACTCCTGGGTTTCCTGTGACCCAACTTTTAAACTCCACAGGTCACAGTATTTTTGATGTCCAGGTGCAGGTTATGGCAATTAACATCCAATGGAAGCAGCGTGAATGGTGCACACAAAAGGACTTGTATAATTTTAATGTCAGCTTCCTTTAAATTGTGGAATGCATATATGTGCATGTGCTACTATTTACACTCACATGCACTTCGGATCCATTTATCATCTAAAGCCAAATGCATGGTTTAACGGTTTTGTGTATACTGAGGAAGGGTTATGCACCCAAAGCAGCTGCTTTTTTAAACAGGGTATAAAGAAAGTCAGTTTTACAGCTTGCCTTTAGGGCAAGCTGTAGTTGGCATGTACTTGCCCAAGAGTCATTTTAACTAGCCTGAAAAAATACTTTGATGAGCAGGATGGATAACAGTTCTTCTGCAATGTTCATTCCCCAAAAAACTTCACTTGCTCATCGGGCTAGTTAAGAACAGAATTCACTAGCCCAATAGCAAAATCCACTAGCCCCGAGCTATCGGCCACAACTTTCTTTGCACGCTGTTAAAGGCATTTTTTAATGACACTTTTTATATTTGTTGTATATGCAATATCATTCTATATTAAGTTATCTTATTGCAAGTGGTTAACAACCTGGAACTCTTTTACAGTATCTAGAGATACCATTGAATGTTAATTGTTTACAAACATCGTGCGATGTTTAGAAATATTTTTTCTCTATAATTAAGCGGCCACTTAGGTAGGTCCCAGGGGTGTCTGCTAAAAGATATCTTTTTCAAATGTTAGTATGCCTGGATAGCTACGACATTGCTTTTTTTATTTAGTTTACATGCTAGGCTATTTGTAGGTAAGATGAATGGTCATATGACAACCAAAAGTTCTAAAAAAAGACTAACCATTTTCCATAAACAGTGGTGTTCTGCATGGGTATGCTGAAGTGGAAAACTGATTTAGAGAGGGAGAGTTACGAAATCTACCGTACAGAGAAGGAGTTCATTTGATGGTGCTTTCTAGACTGTTTGTGAAGAAGTACTAACTAGCACTCTCGTTTTTTTCAGAGAATGTCAAAAGGCAGATTGGAAGAATCACAAAGCTAAGTGCACTACTGTGAAAAAAAAAGCATTTATTCAACTGTAAGCTGAGTTGGGCTTTAAACTAGTCCTAAACGTCATGTAACCGACTGATTATCACCTAAATATTATTGTCTGACTTATAAATCCGGTGTCACTGTGAAATTCAGCCTCAAATTATTGGTGAAAATACCTGCAATACAACAGGTCATACAGTTTTAATTAAGTCTGAAGCATTTATGCAATTACGAAGCAAATGTCCTACAATCATAGACAAAGGTCCTTGGGACAGTGATGCAATAATCAACAATTATTGGATGAGGTTTTTGTAATATCCGGAATAATCAAGTTTAAGGTAAGTGTTTGGTCCAGAAGACTCAAACACAGACAAAAAAGAAAATGCAAATAATACAAAAATTTTTAACAAAAACGCAAACAGAAAAGCACAACACAAACAAAAAGGTAAAACACAAATAAAAAAGTAGACAACGCAAATAAAAAAGGAAATCGCAAATAAGACAAAAACTTAAAACAAAACGCAAATAGAAAAAGAAAAACGGAAGTAAAGAGGAATCGCGAAGGGCTTGAGCTCCAGGATTCCGTTTTAACGCCATTTGATCATCGGTCAGTATGAAACATGGACTGCAGACTGGGTATAAAACACGGACTACGGACTACGTTGGTGAAATCTGTGCTAATTTGTTCTAGGTAAGGGAAAATAAGAACAAAAGATCGAATTAGCACGACACTTGAGTGAGTTGTAAATACTCGTAGAAATTCTTGGTACGGGAGGATGTGTACCACCCGGTTCTCCAAATCTGAGCCTGACCAAAATGCTATTTTCTACATCCATTTTTGAGCTATTTTGAAAAAATAGCTCATATGTCAGTGGTGTGAGCGTATGTATCTTTGTGGCTTTGTATCTTTGTGGCTTTGTATGTTGGGATGTTTGTTGCAAGAGCCAATTAGGTTGAAGGTACTATGAATTGATGCTTAGGAACCAATGAGATCTTGGCATCTATTTAAACATGGCATTGGTAAAGGTCGAACAAGGGCACTTTGAGACCGCTATCTTGATCCTTCACAATTTTTTCGTCTTTTATTACGGGTACAGGTGTTTGGAAGCATTACATAAAATATCTTCATGATTCAAACGCTGTGAACAGCGATGCAACTGTTTAAGGGTTCATATTTAAGTGTGGATGCTGCTTCGAAGCATTTCTGACCTAATTCGGCTATCGGTACAACGCACGTCAGTGTGAGTTCTGTTTCACCTGCCACAACTGGTTAGAGTATAAAAGATCATATATTTTCAAATCTCTTCCAATGAAGCAATAATTGATCTTTAGATATAGACTTTTATTCGAAAGTATGCGCCCTATAAAATGTGGTTTTAGAAGTTTAAAAGGCAGCTTATTTTTTTGAAAGCTGTATCGAGTATTGTTAATCCTGTAAACAAGCTTTAAAAATATTATTCTCTAGCTTACAAAGTTAATAATAATAATAATAATAATTTAATTCTTATATTGCACGCTTTCCATGAAATGATCAAGCGCGCATTACATGATTTCTATCTATAAAAACTTAATAAAGGGTATGTAACTACTAATTATTTAAAATATACTATGATAAAATTAAAATATACAACATATGTTAAAATACTAGTAATTGTCGTGATAAAAATTAAAAATTAATAAATTAATAAAAAGCTTCCCTAAATAGGTACGTTTTCAGATGGCGCTTAAAAATCCCTAGATCTGTAATAGAACGAATCTCACGCGGTAGTACATTCCAAAGTGCCGGAGCTGCGACCTGGAATGATCTGTCTCCTAATGTAACCCTACTTCTATAAGTTGGCGTTGCAAGCAACAAACTATCCGAGGAGGACCTTTTTCGTTCTATTTAGTAAAGATGCGTAACTTAAGTAGAAACAGTGGCGTTAGGGAATAAAATTGGAGGAAGCTAGTTGACACAATAATCATGATATAAGTAGAAATATATTTCGGCAGTTTGATAATTTTCTTGGAAGTTAATAAATGTTAGGCTATCAACCTTGACCTTGCATGAAACATAATTTAATTGCAGATGTTATAATGAAGCCGAGGTGATTTCTTAAAATCGTTTGAGAAAATTTTGTAGTGGAGAATTTGCCCTTTTCTAACGTACGAATTGTAAAAGGGCCAAACACCAACACCTTCACGTGCAAATTGTGTGCGTGAGTTATTTTTATAATTCTGTTTACTCAGCTAGTTTACTGTGTGATAACTCGAATTCCCTTACGTACGAACGACGAAAGGGGGCAAAGTCCAACACTTTCACGAGCCAGCTGTGTGACTGTACATCTCATGCAGATTGGCTTTTCACAATGATAAATAGTAACTTGGACGTATGAAGACCTGTTTCGTTTTGTAACCAATGCCTTAAAAAAGGCTCTTGTCTTCTGAGAAGCACTAGCTTTTAAAACATGAAGAAATAAGTTGTCGGAGTTAAAGACTGTTTCACTGAGTAGAATCGCACGTGAAAACCTCGTGAATTATGATGATGCAACCATCTACCACAATGATAAAAATCCTGGTATTTCGTAACTATTCAGTATTCGATGAGTCACATTTTGGCTTAAGAAACTCCGAGGAAACCTTAGAGTTTTCCTTCTAATCAACGTTTGGTGAGTATAAATTTATTTCACTTTAACGATTTGTTTAACTTGCACCAGATGTAACAGGGAAAGACAGAGGAAAGTGAATATATAGCTTGAGGATCGACTCAGCTGAGCGTTTCGCGTTTTCATTTTGTACCGCAATACGCAATTTCGCACAAAAACTCAATCTAGATTTAGGATGAAAGAGGTAGATTGATCACTCTTGGTAAGGTTACATCGAAGCATTAAAGTTACACTGAAGCATTCAAAATAGCTCATGCACGTTTAACGTGCCTATGTTTAGACCTGGTCTCGGTCTCTAACATCCATGACAGGGGTCACAAACGCGATGTACATGTTAACATGGGTTTAAATCATGTCATTATCGTTTAGAAGATAACGTCGGATAATATATTTAATTTCGGTTATTATTTATGTATAGATAAGGAAACCCCTCCCCACCTAAATACAGCGTTTTTGCTTCGACTGCCCCTATATTGACCTTCTCGTCTGGGTCATTTCCTCATATTCCCGAGGCTTTGAAATGGAATTGTGGCATCTATGAGAATGTCACTCTCACTAACACCAATACTATTTTTTTATTGGGTGCCTCTCAATGTCATATCTTCTATTTGTTACGTCTTCTATTGGTTTAAAACTATAAATTGAATTCTCTTCTAACTCCTCCTTTTTATAAAATTCAGAGTTTAATTTCAGTTGCCTTGAGTAGCGGCATAACCGTCCTTGCCCATCCACTTATACTTTCCTTCTTCACGCCGACGTTGGGGAGAATAGACTGCGTGACCAGCGAAAGGAATTATGTTTGAGTGTGAGGCAAATAATAAAAAAGTTCTTTTTACAGATGGCCTATGTCACATAATGTGGTTTTCAATAGGGCACTGCATAAAAACTAAAAACTACAGTACTAAAAATGACAAAATATTAAAATAGATGAACTAAAAAGTGTCACACTAAGCGAACTTATTGAAATTTAAAATGTTCAAGTGATGAACTTTTAAAAGCATTATGAAGTAGACATCTCATGTCTTCTGGAAGGGAATTCCAGTCTGTCAATGCACTATTAAAGGATCTGAGTAGACCCCAGTTCGTGTTTGATCTAACAGATCTAATAGTTTCCTTGGAGCGGGTGTTATGGCTATGATAGTCTGAGCCTCGAGTAATCATACTGTTTCTTTCACTGTCATTAATAAAATTATAGCCTGCGTAGCTGGCGGTATTGTGTGGGTGCGAGATTAAAGTTTTGGCGGCGGAGCCGTGTTCCAAAAAAAGGGAGTAGGGACGAGGCGGTTGAAATACCGCCTGCCAGAAAACCCCGGTATTTTGAATACCTTCGCACACCAGTGTGCGGGGAAACGGATTGGTCGAGGGCCATACATATGTCAATCATGTTAGATGAGCCTTCGCGTATATTTCCCAATTTAGGGAGCAGATGGCGAACTGGAAAAGACGTACATGTAAAGTGATTGTGTTTTCCGCTTTAAAAAGAGCATAATTGATGACCAAATTGCCAAAATTGCGTCTTTAAACTTCACAGCGCTGGAATTGTCTTAATTTAGCCGTAAGAAACAAAAAAATTAAAACACTTTACAACTGCATCTGAGATCAAATCCTATCAGGAACACCTACTGAAGAATAAACCACCGGAAATGGTTACTCAGTATGCATGTAACAAACCAGCTTCATGACCTTTTAATGTTAAGCCTAGTGTTGCAAAAAAAGATTTACTCAGTCAAAGTTTAGAATGATACATGCACT